GGATGAGGAGGAGGAGGGGAGGAGGAGGAAGGGGAAGAGCATGAGGGGGAGGAGGAAGAGGGGGAGGGGAGAGAGGGAGGAAGGGGAAGAGGGGGAGGAGGAAGAAGAGGGGAGGAGGATGAGGAGGAGGAGGGGAGGAGGAGGAAGGGGAAGAGCATGAGTGGGAGGAGGAAGAGGGGGAGGGGAGAAAGGGAGGAAGGGGAGGAGGGGGAGGAGGCGCATGAGGGTTCCTACGCATCGCTACGCATCCGATAATGGGAAAAATTCATTCTCGCTTCAGATGAATAATTTAGGACGCGCGCGCGGGGCCCGCACGCGGCGTGGCCCCGAACATGAACCATGCATTCATCAGTGACAGAGCCAACATGCGGCTATGCAAACCCCAATTTGCAAGTTCCGGAATGTGAATGGGTGGCGCGCGCGAGAGAGAGAGACAGACAGACAGACAGACAGACAGACAGACAGACAGAGCAGACAGACAGAGCAGACAGACAGAACAGAAACAGACAGACAGAAGAGAGAGAGAGAGAGAGAGAGAGAGAGAGAGAGAGAGAGAGAGAGAGATGAGAGAGAGAGAGAGAGAGAGCGAGAGAGAGAGAGGGAGAAAGAGAGAAAGAGTGAAAGAGTGAAAAGTGAGAGAAGAGAGAGAGAGAGAGAGAGAGAGAGAGAGAGAGAGAGAGAGAGAGAGAGAGAGAGAGAGAGAGAGGAAAGAGTGAAGAGAGGCAAGAGAGAGAGAGAGAAGAGAGAGAGAGAAGAGAGAGGAGAGAGAGAGAGAGAGAGAGAGAGAGAGAGAAAGAGAAAGAGAGAGTAGAGAGAGAGGAGAGAGAGAGAGAGAGAGAGCGAGAGAGAGAGAGAGAGGCGAGAAGAGAGAGAGAGAGAGAGAGAGAGAGACGAGAGAGAGAGAGAGAGAGAGAGAGAGAGAGAGAGAGAGGAGAGAGAGAGAGAGAGAGAGAGGAGAGAGAGAGAAGAGAGCAGAGAGAGAGAGAGAGAGACAGAGAGAGAGAGAGAGAGAGAGAGAGAGAGAGAGAGGAGAAAAGCCTCCTGACTAAGAGAGAGAGTGTGTGTGTGTAAACAGCTATGACGATATAAATTCAAACTTGTGTTGTAACCGGAATAATCTTTAATAACTCATACAGTGTAGACACATCGCACAAAGATACACAAAAACCAAGCACATGCGCATGCGCGCGTGTGCCTCCTTCCGCGACCAGACCCAGAATCTCCTCGACTCCTACATCCCTGTCCTATATATTCCCCCCAACTCTTACATCCTGCACGCACATGTACTGGTTCCCCCAGACCGCGTCCTACCCCCATTTCACAATGACCCTAGAAACTGCCTAACCACGTTTACAATTCTCCCTAGTACATCAATGTAGCCGCCACAAGCGACGCCCTGTCTAGCCAGACTATGACTAAAACAACTACTAGTCTAGCTCCACTGACTAATTCATGTAACACCTGCAAAACACATGTTACAAAAGAGAGAGGGGGTATAGACAGGGGGTATATTATGGTGTAAGGCGCACAAATAAAAAAAATTTAATGTAAAGCATGTGTTGCAAAGTAAAAGCAAATAACATCGAAGACTTCTGTCCGCTATACCCGAAGAAGTTATATACAATTGAAATAATTTCTAAACAAACTATATCATAGATATAAAGATTATTTTTAATGGTGCGAGTATATTATGGGTAAGAATTGCTGCTGGTTAATCATTGATGATTCTCCGAAATCAATAACTATTATTTCATATAAAATCCAATATTTTTACCCTCAGAGATGTTTGAGTAGTCACGAATTCACGAACCATCGATTGCCTGCTTGTTTTGAATAATACACATGAAAGATTCATCACAAAAAAGTACTATAAACATTCAATACAACTGTTTCCTATTCACACATTAGCTATAGGCGCTATTCTACATTTCAAAGCAAGTTCGTATTTGAGCCCAGGATGCAGTTGCTACACAAACAGCTCGTGCTTTTTAAACAAAGAGGGGTTTTCCGCTGGAACTTACACCCTGCTGTAGCCTGTGCCCAACAAAGGAGGCGGTTTCTGCTGGAGCTAATTACAGCCTCGTATACTGCACCACCTACTCGATAGTCTGCACTTTCTTTATTTCTCATACAAAACGTCTAACGGCACTGCCTGCTGTACGTGGATGCACTCTGATTGGTGGTTATCAAACCGGAATCAAGCGCAAAGGTTCCGCGCAATAGGAATCAAGCGCAAAGGTTAATAGGGGAAAGCAGTTCCATGAGCTGTGCGATCACGCAGGGCAGCAGAGCCTCATTTAACATCGATTACGGTAATGACTGACCGATCACAGTTACGAACACAGCCTCAAAGCCGCATTTCAAGCAGCAAGCAAGCAACGCACTTTGAAGAGCTATGCAGCTCGCTCTAGCCATACATACAGAATACAGATTGAGATATAGAATAGAATCTGTATTCTGTATCTATGCTCTAGCTGGTGTACGACGTGTGTCGTCGGGAGAGACGTTGCTGCTATGTGGAGCGTGTGTCGCCGCAGAGACCATCGATGGAAGTCTATCTATGTCTAGACTATGGGACTGGCTATCCCGTCATAGGGAGCAAAACTCTCACAAAATGCAACTGGTAATCGAATGTGTACGTCCAACCCTGGTGATTACAGTCAGGATGGGTAGATGGGAGTGAGACAACACTGATTGAGACATCAGCAACAACTTTGTGAAGAAAGACTAACGTGACAGACTGAGACAGAATTGTCATCGTGCGACGAGCGAGTGACATATGTTGTATTGTGCTAAACACGACGTATAACCAGAGGGGTTGACCATTCAACCACATTCCACCGATTTTTAGAGGTAGTTGCATGCCCTCTCTCTCTCACCTTGCCGAGTTGCCTCGAAAATTTCCACGGTAAAAAAACGGGGATTGCCCAACCTATCTTGCCTCTCCGTTCTTCCCATAAATGTCGTGTACATGCATCCTTCTCCCTCTCCCACATAAAAAAATTACTGGGAAGAAGTAAGATCGACAGGCAGGATGCCCCCCCCCCTACACAGACACACACCGCATGAAATGCTAGCAACAGTGCGGTAAAATATCCGAATATAACGCTAATATCACCTCACCCACTCGAAACATTACAATTCGAACGCTAACGTGATTATTGTGAATACGTGGCAAAGTTAATCCACGCCCCCCCCCCAAGGCCCCCATATAACACACGTCCTACGCATCCACTGCTACGAATGCAAATGCTATTTCCTGTTGCCATTTCAATGCGCGGATAAAGTGCTTATGCTTAAAACATCAATGAAATTACCCTCATTGCTTTCCATTTGCCTTACTAGTGGTTAAAAGCTAGTCACGCTTAAACGGGGACGAGTCTCCCCCGAGTGAAGCTGAAACGTTAGTATCATTGCAATCAGGTTATTTGCACACGTACATGTACCAAGCATGACACACGTCGTACAGACCACAGTACAGAATGTACACACACACACACACACGCACGCACGCACGAACGCACCCATGCACGCACGCACGCATACGCACGCATACGCACGCACGCATGCACACACACACGCACGCACGCACGCACGCACGCACGCATGCAGACACACACGCACGCACGCACAAGCAAGCACACACACGCACGCTCGCATACGCACGCTCGCATACGCACGCACACACTCGCATGCACACACACGCACGCACGCACGCACGCACCCATGCACGCACGCACGCACGCCGCAACACGGCACACATGACGGAGAGAAGAGAGACAGGGAGTTGAGAGACGAGGATGAGAGACGAGGACCCTATGTAGCGATGAGAGAGGAGAGGAGAAGACGAAAGCGCTAGACACGCACGCACGCACGTATCCACGCACACACACGCACGCACACAGGCACACCAGCACATAAGGAAATCATTAGCGGTCAATAACACAGACTAATTTAATATGAAGCTGTTCAGCAGAATTCTCTGCTTACTCGATAGGGTAGCCAAATCAGAAGCACACACAGATCATTGACAAGAAACCAATACCACCCCCCCCGGGGAGGGGGTGGCTCTGTCGTGCCGTCCCGTGTGTGTGTGTATGTGTGTGTGTGTGTGATGAGTGATGTATTTAATTAGTATGCGCCGTGCATTTATGCCCCCCATTTTCGTTTTCCTTCACCATCTTTCTGCCCCCCCCAAAATTTTTTCCTAACCATTTTTGCCACCAATTGTGTTCTGTGTGTGTGTCCTGTGTGGTACGTGATTCTGGCTCGTCTATGTTGTGTTGCCGATGTATTGCACTATCTCGGACGGCCATTCTTTTTGTCCCAGTGTATTTGCCAGCCGTCGAGCCCTGCTGTCTTGTGGCCGCTCAATTCTCCCGATTAGGTGCGAGCAGTCCCTACCCGCAAGAAAGCGACTACCCCCCCCCTCCAGGGAAAACGACTTCTTTTCCAAGAAACTGTCGCTAGTCAGTTCATCAGTCAAACAGCTAGTGATCACTCGGTTTACACGACTACTGCACGACATCCATACGTATGAATGCGGGCTAGGAAACGAAATTACAGGCAGGGTCTCCTGCGATCATTTCCCATTACGAAATATGTATGATTCTTTTGAATTTCACGATTATATAATATATATACGTGAGAATGATGTACGAATTTTTGCTCGAGTAGCGAAAAAATCCAGCATCCGCAACTGTTGGATTAGCATACTATGAACAGGAAATATTTTAAGAGGCTCCTGAAATATATTTTCCCTGGTTATGCATCTGATAAATTTATATACAAGATCTTAGAAAATCTATATGCGATGCGAATAGCATTTGAAGAGGCTGAGTAGTCGCATCTCTGCGAACTGTAAATGTAACATTCATGTTGTGCAGTTTGAGCATAAACGGTTTAGTTACTCTTGGCACCGTATATATATATATATATATATATATATATATATATATATATATATATATATATATACGCGGTCCTGATATAGATCAGAGCGTTTTTTGACTTTTTCTGTTACGTTTCAGAAGAAGTTGAAGAAGTTTCATAACAACATATTTAAACCATGTTAAACTTTGGAATTTCACTTTTTGTCAAAAGAAAGGCCGATGGATAGTTCATGCATATCGTATTCGTTTAAATAATGGAAAAATAGGGGGTAGAGTTTATTTAATGAGCAACACAGTATTCCGGCTACAAAAGATAGAGAGAAGATTCTATTGAGGCATTCACTATCAATAGTGGTATTTGTAGACCAGATATAACATTTCTATTCACAAGCACCAATTAGGATGACCTACATACATTATACATCAGGGGTTTAATATTGACAATTTGATATTATTAACCCCTGATTATATGTTGTGCAGGTATAAAAAAAATTATATTGTGAGCATTTATTCACGTATCATGCAAAGAAGTACTCCATAGTTAGTCATGGGAGAACCCGCAATCATAATACACCCCAAATATTAACATACGCTCACTGAATGCGGCACACCTATTTACACAGCAATGGCAACTGATATGGTTCCTATTTGCACTTCACTAAAGAACTCGTGAACAAGAACAGGCTCTGTGCTACTGTGCAGGCTTTCTCCTTACCCATACATTCCCCTGCACCTGTACATTCCATTACCTGTACATCCCCCTTACCTGTACATCCCCTTACCTAGACAGCTACCTTACCTACACATACCCCTTACCTGTACATCCCCTTACCTGTACATCCCCCTTAGCTGTACATCCCCCTACTTGTACATCCCCCTTACCTGTACATCCCCTTACCTAGA